GTTATCAGCTTTATCGATTTGGGCATAATTTAGTAAATGTTTCATTATTTCAAGTTTAGAAAGGCTTTTAGACCTTTAAGATTTTTGTCGAATGAAGGCAAAGAAGTAAAAAAGCATGGATTTAGAACAACAAATTTAAGTTCTATATTTCTTTTAAATCAAAATTTAAGAGGAATATGAAAGAGATGAAGGATTCTAAGTTGTGAAAAACTTGTTTATCCCTTTATATTTTTGTTAGAATCGGCACACCGAAGCTCTGCATCTTGTTTTGGGTGCTATGCAACGCCACCTGGAGGATAGTACACTGCAGATCGCTGGTTCAGCGTCATTATTTTACATAATTCGCAAAGTGAGTATGAATCGTGATACAAAACGAATGGTTGTCACCGCATTGCTGGATGGGATGGATGCACATATGGAAGAACAGGTAACTTGGAAACCATTTTTCAAATTATAATTTTAGTGGATGATTGGTTAGTTTTTTGCAGTACTTGCAAGAGTGCAATATTCGGTACAACGTAGGTCTACTGTTAATTTCAAGTGGTTAATTTGATGAGTTGAAATTTCTTATTTGTTAGAGTGATATTCTTTTCCTAGGTAATGGTTCGGAATTGTTGTTTATCACTTTGCCAGTTCGAAATACCGCTGGAAATCCTCTTCGATTATGGTCGTGTAGCGCGTTTGCTTGTTGCTGTACTGCAGCATCACAATAGTGATCACTTAACTCAACGTATCGTCGTTTTTTTATTAAATTCAATGGCATGCCATGTGGAAGGCGAACAGAAAGTTCAAGTCGGCAACATTGGTGCCATTGAAGTGAGCGTTTCTAAAACTTGTTTTTTTGCGTGGGACCATCCCATTGATTTACTCTTTGATATATTTATAGTATTACTTTAAATTTCTGCAATTTCGATTCGCGGCTTCATTTTCTTTATAGATTTTTTTGTTAATAATCATTGAAGTAAGCTTATAGATTTACTCTTTGATATATTCAGATTATTCTGGAACAAATTCGCAGAAAACATGCAGCTAGCATTTGCGATGATGTCATGGAAGTAGGATGGAGCTTTCTGTGGAATATCACTGGTTATTTTTTTTATTTTTCGTAATAAAACTTTCAGGTTCGTTCGAACAGTATATGAGAATTAATTGTAATCTGATGAATTTTTGTGCGTTAATCACTTATATCTTCAATTAGTGAAGAATCTAAAGCATAAATCTCTTTTGGCCACGCTTGAGAAATTGACTGAATCATTAAGATATTAATCATTAAATATATATATATATATATATATATATATATATACTACACTC